CAGCCACCCAGTCATTGAGAACACGTCCTTGCTCCTAGTAGCTGTAATAGCCCCTATAGTCTTGAGCTACTATCTGTTGAACTATATCCTACATGCCGAAAAACAACACTCAACTCCGACAGTTTCCGACGTGCGACACCTGCCATCCGAGAACACCAATGAACAACATACCTGTGCTTCAGAGGGCGTTGCAAAGCATATTGCATGCAATCTGGTTGCGGTCGCCGCCCAGATTGTTCAGTAACAGCAATGGCTTCTGGCTTCGGTGCCGAGGCCAGGCCCCAAAGCTTCCCTTCGGACAACACAACCCAGCTGCAGTCGCAGTCTACAAGTTTTTCCTTGCAATGACCAACATTAAATCTGTTGTATGTAACAGCCAACAGCAGTCATTTATGGCGCAGTCTTTCATGTCGGTCCCGGACAAGTGGAGACAAGCCAGCAGCGACGACCAAGACGCAAATCAGCCACCCAATCATTGAGAAGTAAGGACCCATAGGTTTCAGGTCTGGGGAAAAATGAAGGATATTCCTGCAGTTCCCCCAAGAGAAGTCAAGTCCAAGACCGTCGAAGTCGAAGCCTTCTTTGATCCAAAGGGCTCGTTTGAAGGTCTTCTTGGAAGCCGAACCCACCTTTGGTGGTTGGATTCATCGATGAGTCCCGAAACTTCTTCTGGAAACCCTCGACGCATCTCCACTCCGAGAACATGTCAATTGCATCATGGTTGAAATTAACATTCGATCGGCGACGTCCTGTCTTGTCAGGAAGATCTTTTGCACTCGGTCTTTACATCAGGATCAAGAAAAACGTGCGGCAACTCTGATCCTGCCTTCTGACTGAAGTCGTCGCTCGCTAAAGCTTCAATCGAATAAGCATCGATATACTCCTTGCAACAAGAGCACTGGTCGATCAGCTTTTTGCAGGATTTCCATGAAAATCATCTCTTTCATGGAGATGAACCCGGGATTGCAAGACATGTGCCTTCCAAAAAACAGAAGTGCAGGCTGATTTCAGAATAGAAATGGGTAGAAATGATCACATTCAATGTTCTAGCCCTGGGCACGCTCCTTTGCTGCTTCAAGATAAAATCAAGGTCCGGACCTGCCTTCACATCTGCAGTTACACCAGCAAAGAGATCCTTTCGCCTTGAAACATACACCACCAATCCTGCACAAAACTGCCACCGCTTTATGATTCATCTCATTTTCTTGCCCTCGTTATCCAAAAGAGGAATGTATATCATAATACTGGACTCATGAATGAACTCCAGCAAGAAGCATCCAGTAGGCTCCAAGACCTGAGTTAGGCCTCAGATGTTGAGGATCAGGGGGTGAAGACATGTCCAGCACCGTTCACACAAAGAACACTCACATTTTGATCAGGACTCAGGCACTGTGTTGTGTCCGATTCAATACTCATCTTCTTGGTGATGCGTCACTGTCTTGAAGAAAACGACTTGAGTCTGAAGCCGTGCCCGTGCTGAAAAGGGCAGTAGCCAGTCTCAATGACCTATATATTTCATTCTATGACCTGTATCAAGTCTCGAATTTTAGGAGAAAGACAAACATACAACATGCCCAGGCCCAGGAGTTCTGGGCCGCCAGGCCCTGGAGCAAGTCTCAAAAGAGCATCTTCCTCCGGATCCACGGCAGCTTCTTCCGTGCGTTCAGAGACCTCGCCCACCTGGGGTTGACATATCTCTGAACATCCCCAAGAGGAGTTGGGCACCTTTTTGCCAGGTTCTGACATTCAGCGGTTTCCACACAAATCAGCATCGGCAGTGAGAACCAGTACAACCAGAGATCCACGCCGGCTCGCCATCCAGTTTCACCAAATCAGACCTCGTTCAATCACCGAATGTGGCTATCCCATCTCTTTCTACATCTCTGCACATCAATGTTGTGGGTCTACCACCAATACAAATAGAAACTTGGCAACCTGGCGGTTGCTACTACGATATTGTGCAACCCATCAAAGGGTGTTATATGTCCGAAGTGCCAAAGTAACGAGAGTAAACGCTTCTATATTTGCACTCAGTCCAATCCCGCTGAAGCTGACGCAACTACAGCAGGCTGCTGCACATTCCGTTTATTCAATGGCAAGAGTGTGTCCGCTCCCTATGAGAACAGCTTTGAGAGCAAGTATTGACACCAAGGACAATAATAGGCTGCCAACAAATGCGCCAGGAGCTTTGGCCTGTAGTCTGAGGCCTTGGTGCCCAGCTTTCACTGGCTTCTCGGATTCTGCCTTTTCTGCTATCCCGTGCTTGCCCGTGTCTTGGGTCCCAGCTTCAGTGCAAAGGTTTCCTCTGAAGTTCAACATATTGATCTTCCTTGGACACATAGCTGCATTTCACTCTTTCCCAGAAATGACAGCTCCAGGAATGTGCTCTCCTCAGGATTCTTTGAATGTCATGATTGTGCTCAGGAACCGTGGCAGCTCCTTCTCATCAAAGCTCACCTGATTCAGCTGACATTCCTTTCTCTTCCATTGCCTCAAGCCCTGTGACAGGGATTGTCAGTCGAATGATTTCTCCTCGTATTGAGCTTGCCTTGCCGCAAATGAGGTTCAACTTCATCTGGTAGTTTTTGGCCAAGGATTCACTAGCAAAAACTAAGTCTCCCACTATCTCGTTCTTGGACAAGTCCAAGAACTCTAGGTCACGCAGGCACATCAAGTTCTCCACAACGGCCTCGTCTTTTCTCAACGTTCTGCACTTTTGAACTGTTTCTCAAGTTCACTGGGGCGTTGGCAATTCTGTTGTACTGCAGCGCCAAAAACTGCAACCTGTAAGCTTTCTCACCCTCTTTGCTGCTTTTGTGTAGTCTCTCTTTGCTGCTTTGCATCGTATGTCCTATGTCAAATCTTATGGCAGTAGCAGTATCGGCACCTTGGCATCCAATCCAAGTTCTCGATTCTTGAAATGCGGTTGGCTTGAAGGTATAAAACCTGGGCAACTCACATCCCACATCAAACCCCGCATCTGTTCTGTTTGAATTGATTCAAGCTTCTCGTGAAACATAGATGCATAAAGCAACGTGTCCGTTCGATTTCAGCAATTCCAGCAAAAGCTACACATATAGCGGCACTCACAAGTGCACATTCACAATTCAAAGCATTGAAATTCATCCCCACCTCAGCAGACTCAAAGGGCTCCAAGCTAGAAATCTCTGAAATGCCCAGCCAGTCTAGATGGATCCTTGGTGCCGAAGCCCTTCAATGGCTTTTCAACTACAGACGCACAGTCTAACAGGTTGCCAAGCGATGTTTAGCTTCCAGCGTTTTCAAACTCTGGATGCGTGAGGCAGCCTCCTCATCGTGCAAGGAGTCGTATTCGGCCAGGGCAGCCTTCACGTCTCTCCATGCTGTTTTTATCAAAGCTCGCGCAAATGGAACACTGCACATGCTGGTTCAGGCAGGGTTAGGAAGTGATATACATATAGAAAACAAGTCCCTTGAACTGAAGAATGACCAACCTGCCTGTGTCATGGACCTTTCCAGCACCAACCGGAGGGAGATCCTGACTTCAAAAAGGATTAAGAAGGCAACGGAAAAACTTGACAAAGCATCGGAACCTGTTTAAAGGACTCTCAAATCTCAGTGTTGCTAGGCATCCAGCATCTTCTCGGGCCGTCCGTCCCAGAATTGTGATGGGTGTGTGATATCATCCTGAAACCCCAGCAGCCATGAGATAAGTCCAGCATGCTGCTCACCTAGCTTTGCCAACGCCGAGAAGTATCTCGAGAAGCATGGCGGGAAGGGAGAGGGAGTCAGGGAGGGGGGGAAGGAGGGAGGGAGCAAGCGAGAGCGAGCGAGAGCGAGTGAGAGGGAGGGAGGGAGGGGAGGGAGGGAGGGAAGCAAAACAAGAAGACAACAAACTTCCAGCCTTGCTGTCGCCATCCGCCATGTCCTTTGCCCTCAAGTGCTCGACTAAAGTGTCCCGTGAATGTCAATGATTGACTGATCAGTAGAGCATCTGATCAAAGGGAACCATCCGCGGAATTGATGCGATTTTGAAACAATGGTCTTGATATATACGTTGGGTTTCTCAGCTCCAAGGCTTGACGTGAAAATCATTGGCAGTTCTAAAACCAATGAGGCCAATGAGCATTGAGAACATCCTTGTTTTCACACAGTTCACACCTCAACAGCCCGCTCCGCACGTTTCCTCCACGGCCGTGTCATCTGGCGCTGAGAAATGAGTGAGACACCCCGCATCATTTGCAGCGGGGTAACTTCACACCAAGCAAACCCGGTCTTGCCACTGCGCAAAATTGCAGAAATCCGCACAGAGCTCCACTGGGAAAAAACACGAAGCCAATCTTGCGTGTTGGGAACAAGGAGTTGATGCAAAACAAGATCGCGAAGCTGTATGGGGTGCAAGCTTGACATCTTGTAGTTGAGTGAAATACGTCTGGCTAGGGTTTGTGCCATGAGGCTCAATCCTTTGCAGTAACTCAGCTTTGCGACCCCACCGCAAGTAGCAACTCAATTGACGGAACTTTTCAAACACCCCAACTATGTCCCCAATCCATTTGTGAGGAGCTCACCCAAGGTTCCAAACAGCCCAGGGTTCCACCATGGAATTCCGGCTGTCAAGCATTCCACCATGGAATTCCGGCTTTCAAGGCCTGTAAAAAGAGCACCGTGGAATTCCGGCTTTCAAGCCCTCTAAGTCTAAACAGACTGCGCGCCACTCCCAGCCCAGACAGCACCCAAGGTT